TATTTGTGAACTTTCTTCTGAGTTATCACATAAAGAAAGTGCTTGCGAGGAGTAGATGAGGAGACATTTATTCAAATATCTGCCTTTATTACTCTTATACTAAAAATGAATGTCAAAATTATCATAAATTCTTAATTTATAAAGGATAATTGTTTACTCTGTTATCATTTCTATGTTGACAGGTGTTTTACAATTGTAATGAAATGTAATGTGGTCCAAAAATGGTTGTACACAATTTAATTATAAAATTATAAATAATTTTTATGTAAATAATATCTCTTTGATCTTCTAAATTTGGATTTCAAATTAATCTAAAGAGAGTACATATCATAAATAGTATAAAATTTACAAGGCCTTATAAATATCTACCGCTAATTCATACATATGCATACATATGTATTTTAGCACTTATGTTTTTTTCTTTACATATTCATATTTTAAATTAAATTCTTATGTCCTACAATATCTATGTACATCAAAAAATTGCATTTAAATAGAAATGAAATTGTTACGAGTACAAGAAAATTGCATATGCTATATATTCTTAGAATTCTTATTAAAATATGCAAATTTACATCTCTCCTTCAGAAATTCTAAAATAGAGCACATATACATATAAAGTAGAGTGTAGACGACTCTCTTGTTTATAAATAAAAATTTATGATGAAAATATATTATAGTTTTCTTAGAAAAAATTGTAATTCCTCTGTGGTCTTAAAAATATATAAGTAATATAAAATAATTTACTTTGTTAATGGTTTTTCTACAATATCTTACATATACATATATATTTCATATATTTTATATATATATACATAAATATTATAAGCGTGTTCATCCAATATACCCGGAATTATACACACATTAATATATTTCTCAAATTGAAAATATATAACAATGAGTAAATTTGAAATATGATTGAAATACAATTATTTTCAATTTCATAACTTATCGAAGCAATATTTCGATTATTATCACTTATTATAGGGTAATTTTACGGCAGCTCAATAATCAATAACTTTGATTTCATCAATTTAATAATCTTTCATCAATTAATCAAGTACTTGGAAATTTACAAATTTGTAAATAAAATTTCTATTAAATACAATGAAAATTAGTATATAGTCTGGTCTGGATTGTATGGCACAATCATTGGTCCAATTTCATTGAAAATAAGGAAAAAATTGATTTCATTAGGGTAACATGCCATATGGCTAGTCAAACATTCACTTTAAATGTGAATGTGAACGAAATTCAACTCACAGTTGGACATCAAGAGTGTTGCTGCCTTAAAACACAAATTAGAGAATTAATAGGTAAATTAATATCGTAATTTTAAAAAAAAATTTATGTAACAATGCAATGTCATTACAATTGAACGACAATTTTCTTTTACATATTCAAGACTCTGGTTTCCAAAAATATATCACAATATATAAAATTAATTAAGTTTTTGTGACTTCTGGGAAAAAAATGTGAACCTACTTTACAAGTATTAAACATATTGTTCCTCCCCTTCTACATACACATAAATAACCCGTTTTTATCACAATTTTTTCTGCATTTCCACTTTGCCATTATCAAACCAAAAGCAAATATTTTATCACTTTCTTCTTTCATTTTAATATTTTTTAATGTATATATATATATATAATATATATATATATATATATATATATAATATATATATGTACTCATAAACAAATCTTATTTAATACACCACGAGTAGAACATTAAGAACTACCATAAAAATGACGTCATAACTTTACGACATTTTATGTTTTTATATTGTGAACGAACTCAAAATACCCTGTGGTAATATTTATTAAAAATAAAATAAAAAACAAATACCGATAGTTTTATGAAAATTTTTGCACAAATGTGCAAAAATTAAATTACATTCTTATTTTTAGATTTTCACTTTAAAAATTTAAATTTAAAAATTTTGTAGAAAAAAATTGCATAAAGGAAAATTTAAAAAAAAAATTCACAATATTAAACTTATTTTGACCCCTACGTACAACTGTATTCAAAATTGAAAATATTTAATAAGCGGAAAATTTCTTGGAATTTTTTTTTTTATTATAAAATTTTTAAAATAAAAGTTAAGGAATTTTTAACTTCTTTATTCAAACTTTGTAAACTTTTTTTCAAATAAAAAGTTATTAAAATTAATAGTGCCATCTATCTATATATTATTTATATAGAAAAAAATTTCCTAACCGTAGGCCATGGTATTTTAATAAACTTTATAAGAATTTTATTATAAAATTGGTTAAAAGATGTTAAAAAAAACATTAAAGGGGTAAAATAGTATAATTTAATAATTTTTTAAAATTTTGGGAGAATTTCCCAGAAAACGTGATTATATTGAGACGATTATAAGGGAAAGATTAAGATATTTGTACATTACACGACAAATTTACAAATATCTAGGTTATAATGTATATTGTCAAATATTCTTGTGGAAAGAAGAACGGAATATCTTAATGGTTTTGTATACTTAGGGAAAAATTATAGAACTGAAAGTGAATAACAGAAACGATTTTAGATTTGAAAAGCATCGGTTCTTTATTATATTAAAGTGAAAATCACAAGGGAAAACGAGTTGAAAAAGGCAGAGAAAAATTTAATAAACCATAAGTATAGGGTTGAGAAAAGAATGAGTGGAAAATTTAAGAAAATGAGAATATATAGTGGTCTTCTTAAGTATATGTGGCGTTAACCAAATAGATTATGGGAAAATGAAGAATAACAGAAAGCTAAAGAATTTGTAACAGAATTTGTAATTTCTACGAAACATGTGTATATATATAGTGTTATTACTTAGTGTAATAGCCATTTATTTAAACCATTAAAATTTCTTATAACAAACATTCTTTTCATATATATTCATTTCAGATATATATTCAATTATAATTCATGAGAAACTAGAACTATCTGTATACTATTTTAATATTTTTTCCTCATACATATTGCTCATTTGCAAAAAGGAATCCACAATTCAAGAATCATATAGTTTTTGATACAAATATTTTTAAGAGATTAACCACTTACCAGTTTATGAAAAAAAAGATGTAATGCTTCCAGATCGAAACGACAAGGAGATAAAATACGAAATTTGACAACATAGACGGGCTAACTATAAACTTAATGTAAAACGATATTGTTTTTTTTTTTTAAATGTCATCACTTATTTAAATTTCGACTCTCTTCTCTGAGAAATTAACAATCTTTTGACAGTAATGTTTTAATAATAACTCAAATCCACTCCAAACCCAATAAACATTAAAGACAAATCTTATAAAACGCGAATCATTTTTTTTTTAAGCTGAAACATTACTAAAAATTTATTTTTTCATATTAAAATTTAAGAAAATAATTTTTAAAATCTTAAAAAGTTTAACAAAAAATAAAAATTTTATTATACAATAAAAATTACAGACAATTTGTTTTTTTTGATTCCAAAACACTTGAAAAAATCTTTTTAATTAGACTTGAACTCATCTTGAATGATCCCAATACAAATTTCGTTTATATTTTTACAACAATTTAAAATTAACTTTATAGTTTTCAAAAAAATTCCCAATAAATTAACATTTGTTATAAACTTTTATACAAAAATATATATGTATATATACAATATCCCCAACCTCTTTATAATATCGTATTGTAAAATAAATGTTTTTATAATAGAATATAAAAAATTCTTTTCTTTTGTAAACTTTTATAAATAAGAAAAAAAAAATATTTAAACTTACAATCATCAAAAATGAATAAGAGATAATCAAGACAAAGATAACAATTGAGTTGTTGTTTTTTTTTATATTTTCTATTCATAAAATAATTTATGAGATTTTTTTAAAGAATCTGTAGTTAAATACGAGTATATCCTTTATATGCTATTAAGTAAGTAATAAACTCAAAGAAAATCAAGAAAAATAAAATATATTTAATATTAAAGATTACAATGTAGACGTATAGAAGTCAGAAATTTATGATTTAAAAGATTCGGAATTCCTTTTTTATAGAATCGATAATTTAAAAAGTTTACAATTGAAAAGTTTAACATTAAAAAGTTTACCATTTTAAAAAATTACCATTGTTTTACTTTTCTGAGAGTATTCATTTCAATAAATGTATTTAAATAAAATGGCAAAATGGTGTTTGTAATTAAATTTTTTTTAAAAAGTGTTCTCAAGTTCAATTTATAAGTAAATTTAAAAATTTTTGTCAATGAATCACCCATTTCACATTAATATCAGACTGCACTGTGTATAAAATTAATAAAATTAACACATAATTATCCACTAAATTGGAAATTTATGTAAAATGAGATGCATACATTTAACGAGTCCAATTAGTTTCTGAAAATTTTCATAAATTATTTAAAATTTATTAAAAATTTTGCCAAAAATTATACGACTAAATTAGATATTGACAACATAATATACTTATGTAATGTAAATTGTCTTACTTAAGTATATTACCGAATTTCATTCCGATATTATTATAATTTAATTAATTAATATTTTTAACTGATCAAAAGTAAAATATTTGTACTCCATATCTATGACAAATTGTTTTTAATTGACTTATTACCAATTTTTTTACAATAATCCTTTCTAAGGAATCATTTTCATATATGTATGTATTCAATATTCCTACTAATACACAAAATTACCAACAATAATATTGAATTTGCAACTTAAAGTATTTTATACTTAAGTAATTCTTTAATTTAAATAATTTTTAACAAAGTGAGTTTCGAAACCCTTACAACTTCCTTTGAATAAAATTTTTAAATTATTTCTCGTAATTCTCAATTGTCATTTTAATTTTAAAAATTTCTCAACATCAAATTAATTCGAAAATTTCAGCAAATTCGTCTTGAATATATTTTGTACAAAGTTCATACAAAAAAAAAAATTTTGTCATTTTTAAAATTAAAACAATAACAAAAAATTTTTTTAATAATTAATATTCTCTTTCTTACTTACCTTCTTTAATATTTAAAGATCCTTAATTTCCTTACTCGTATCTCGTACACGGAATTCGTTTTAGTAATTCAATTGAAAGAAATTCTCAAATTTTCACAATTAAAATTAAATTAAAACAAATATAAAATTTTCTTTAAATGAAAAACAAAAAATGTAATTGGAAAAATTAATTTTTTTTTTTGTACAAAATTATTAAACTTCTTTGTTTTTCCACTTTTACTTTTTATATGAGACAAAAAAATATTATAAATTTTTAATTCAAAAGTTTAAAATTCTTAATTCAATAAAATTGAGAAAAAAAAATAATGAAAGAAAATTAAAAGTAACAACACTTTTGTGTTTTGTGCTCTTCTTTTCTTTTCTGAATTCACTTTTATTTAAGCACGTTCGTAAATCCTTTTCGGTTTTTTTTAAGAAAATTTCAAGAAAATTTTCTAATTAAAAATTTATTTTGTTAAAAGATTGTTGTTTTCACAATTCTATTAAAAATTTTTAACTTGGTTTTATTAATTTCAAAAATTTCAACATTTTAAAATTTTTTTTTTCATAAAATTGTTGAAATTTCAATTAAAAATATTATTGTTGATTTTATTTAAAAAATTTTTTTTTTTTATTTTAAAAAAATACTAGATCAATTTTCATTTCTTCTAGACTTTCATTTTATTTTTTCTGTGATTTTCTAATATTTTTTTTTATAAAATTTATTTTTAATTATTGATTTTCACTTTTTTAATAGACAACCAAAATAAAATAAGAAAAACTTTTGTTCCAAGAAACAAAAGAAATTAAGGATTTCCAAATTCACAATTTCTTTAAAATATTTTTAATTAATTTCCAAACATATGTATGTATATATGTATAAGAAACCTTTTAAAATCTGTTAAAATCACTTGAACCTATATAAAATAAAGGTAAAATCAATATTAAATATTTGATAATTTTTTCAAAATAATTTAATAATAATTAACAAAAAAATTAAGAAAATTCTAATCCTTCGACCGTTCTATAATTTCCAAATTTTCATTTCGGAAATAAATTACTATAAATATATTAATAAACTCAACTGTTATATAAATATTTTTATTAAACTTTTCCAATTTTCCCCTAAAATTTCAATCACTATAATTAATTATACTCTTATATGCAAATAAACAAAATAATAAATTAATTGGAATTTTTGTGTGTTTATAATATAACAAAAATATTTTCTTAATTTTTATTTTAATAAAATAAAATTTTCCATGTGTAATATCTCCCGAATTTGTGTGAATAATTAATTATTATGGAAATTTACCAATCACTTAACACAATTCACAATTCAAACAAAAACAAAAATATAATAATTTTCTATAACTTTAATTTTCAATTTAATTTTATTATTATTATTATTATTGCTGTTGTTGTAACAACTACCAAACTGTTATTATAACTGTTATATTATTATACTGTTAGTTTGTAACTATATAGACTAAAAATGTTGTCGCACTTACAAATCCCATTATAACATATTACATTCGTATATTTATATAAAAAAAAATATGGGATAATGAGTGTATAACTTTTTCTTATTATTCCCTATATTATATCCTTTGGTCCTTTTGAAAATAAACAGGAAAACTCTCATAAAATTACTTACATAATTTTGTCTTTTTCCTACTGCTTATTATTTTTTATTTTCTCTTGTATTTATTTAATATTTTTTTGTGTTTCGTTAATCTTTTTATTTATCTATATAGTAAAATAAAAGTCCAAAAATATTTTAACTTACTTAAGACTTTTTGGTTTTATACTTTTAATAACAAAAACAAAATAAATTTTAAAGGATTTCAAATAATCCAAAAATGAAAAACCAAAAAAAACAAGTGCTTATTTCTGTGTTATTTTAACTCTTAAGGAAGAACTCTTAAAAAAAAGGATTATTTACTATTTATGTTTTTGTATTTGTTTGGTGTATAACTATATGTTTACGTATAACAAACAACCCGTAAATATTTTATATTAACACTTGTTAAATAAAAAACAGAAGAAGGGAAAAATATTAAAAGAAATGAAATAAAATAAAAAAAAAATACTATTTAATTTAATACCTAATGCACTTAATAAAAACCAAAAGGAAATTTTATATTACAAAGTATTTCTTCTAGGTTACAATTTCTAAGGGGCAAAATAATTAATTTTTTGGGATCAACAATATATTAATGATCTTAATTAAAAAATTTCCACTTGAAATTTTAAAAATTTCTTCAAGTATATTTTTTAAAAAAAATTAAATGAGATTTCAAATTTCCAACTAGCTATCTTAAAAATTTTTTTAAATAAATAAAATTTAATTTTCTTAAATTTAAGAATTTTTTACATTTACTTCTAATTTACAACACCATCCCATTAAATTCCAAATACTTAATTAATTTTAAAGAGTAAAACTGAAATTAACAAACCAATTAAAAATTACAATATTTTTGATTTAACACTCTCTATTTATTCCAAGATCGTTTATTTTGAATTAAATGAAAAATTTGGAACTAAAAAAAATTGTAAAATAATTTTCTTACAATTAGCAAATGGCTACTTTAAATTGTCACCGTTATTTTCACTTATAGTCGTAATTTTCGTCGTACACACACAAAAAAATTATGAAGCGATATTTTTTTGCTCTAAAAATACGTCCATTCAATTTCAATTTACAATTAAGACTGAGAGAATTGAATAACTAAAATGAATAACTAAAAAAGAAAAAGGGAAAAAAAATTAAAAAAGTAAACACAATTTTTCTTCTTTTATTACAAAATTATTTTTTTTGTTATGTTTTTGTTTCTTTTCGCCAAACAACAAGAAAAAGGAAAAGCCTAAAATCCAAAAAAAACAAAAACAGAAAAAAAAAATTTTTTATGTTTTCATTTAAAAGGAAAATATCCATAAAAATAAAACAACCACAACAAAATTTAAAAAGATACAAAAATAATTAAAAATTTTCAACAATACCTTGGTGAAATTTCTATATGTATGTATATACACATTCATTATTACCTGTTGTTCAACATATTATTTATATTTCTCCTCTGAAAGTTTTCGTGCAATATAAGGGGAATTTTCTCATTAATTTCGATCTAAGAATGCGCAAGATTTTAAATTTAAATACTACTTATGGTATATACGTACATACTATTTACTATTTATATAACATATATATATATTTTTTTATTCAAAACACGTGAAATTTTATAGAGCAGAAAATTAGAATACAAAAACAAAAACTAAAAAGCTTTATACAATAATATTTACGAATATCGTAATAAAAATAAAATAAAAATGGAAAATAAATAGAAAGAAAATATGAAATGATAAAAAAAGAAATATTTAGAAGCACGTGAAACAATTTCCATTGAGTAAAATTTGAATTTTAATTCATTATTTTCTATTCGTATGTATGTATGTATGTATCAATATGTATAGATATAGAAATAGATATAGATTTTTGTAATGTTATATGCAACGAATATGCTGAACAAAATAGAAAAAAAAAATATTAAAAATATTGAAAATAATAATGGTATATGTGTGTATGATATATATACCCAATATGTATATATATATATATATATATATATATATATAATATATAAATTTTAAAAGGATAATAAACGGACAGCTTATATACAACGTGTGTATTATTGAAATAATGCATACAAATTTACTTTGTATTTAAGTCATTGCTTTCTAGAAAATGTCCAGAAATGCTGTGTTTGCACATTTGTAATTATTGACTGATCTTATTATAACAATAAGATTAAATAAACTGAGAAATATTACCAGTAAATTTAATAAATTAAAATGTTTTAAATTGAATATAAAAAAAAAAATTTATTTTTATAATTCGTTATTAAATAACACATTAAATCAGAAATTACAATAAATATATAATTTGAATATAATAATATTGTATGTATGTGCATATATATAACATAATATATATGTCTATAGAATACAATATATGTAGATCTTATACATATACACTTTGCCTAGTACACCTACATAAATATTTGAGTACTCAAATATTTTCTATTGTATTTTTCTTTGGTGTTAATAACCTTAAAAATATATACATACATAACTTTATTGTATGATATGAATTATATGTACATAATTTTTATATATACAAGTTATTAACATATTATATATAAAACAAATTCTCTTCTCTTATTTTACTGTATTCTTCTATATTTAGACCATATTGTTATATGTTTTTCAAAAATATGTATTAATATACATATTTTGTGTTATATTCATATAAGTGTTATATATTGTTATATTAATTCTAAGAATTCAAAATTCTAGGAATATAATGTATATCAAGCATATTTAAATATTATATAGTATGTATTATGCACTTAATTCAAATATTTATTTTAACAGTTCCAAGTAAAAAAGGTACCCATAATATAAAAGTTATGTTATTTACATATGTAAACATAATGCATTACCAGGTATTACAGATTTACTTTATACAACTACTACCATCTGTTATACAATTTAAAAGTTGTAAATGAAAATATTACACAGCTACACATACAAGAAGCTATTTGTAGCTATTTTGGTTATAAAATCTTTTATTCTGAAAAAAAAATTGCATATATTTAGGATGGAATGATAAATTAAATTTTTGTATAGCAATTGTAGCTTAATTATTATAAAAGCAAATTTCCATTAAAAATTTGAATTAGATTGAATTTTTTTAATTTTAAATGCATGAAAACTCCATGCGTACAATATCACCTTAAGTGAAAAATGTCAACTATACATAAATAATGTTTCTGCAAAATATTTAAAGATTACAAAATTGCGCTGCCATTTAACTGGTCATTAACACTCAACTGAACGTTGAAACATCAAAATATCTTTGTTGACTCTAAAGGGTATTGGTATTGAAAATGTATTTAATGTCGATAAAAATAACATAAGTTGACTTTATCTTTATGCGTATTACAGATCCTTGTTGCTAAAACTTCTATATTGTCAAAAAAAAGGACTTTCTGTTACATGTATTGAATCAAAATCCATATTAAAAATATTAAAAAAAAGTGATATAAATACTATTTTCAAGGTAAGTATTGGTACACGATTTCTTACTTTTTATTTAAAAGGAAGAAATGTGGGTTTAATCTTTAATATCATATTGGATTAAATATTACGTGTGTGCTTTTACACACAAATTCCTTAAACATGTCATATACAATAACAATGTACAATTCCTATAATATAATCATTCTAATACAGGGTGATTCAGTAAAGATTATAATATTATATACATATTATCATTGTTTCGAGCATCAGAAATGAGCAAAATTTACGTATCAACATGTTATGTTACATTTTAATCAAATATCTAGCAACATATTGCAGTAAATTTTGTTATCTTAAGAACCGGCATAAACAATTAAGTCTTGTTTGTATATTTTTTATTTTCTGTAATAAAATGATTAAGCATGAAAAACGTAATATGTAAGTATTTTTATTTTTATGTTTTTCTTTTGTAATATTGAAAGCGAAAAGCGAATATTTTTATAAAGAGGTCAACGATTCTCTTTTTAAACAAGTTAAGCATGAATGATAATAAGAACAAGAGTGTCTTGTTTTTATTTTGTGTTTTGATTATTATAAATTGGTTCTATAAAAAGATTATATAAAATGAGTATCTATAGCTTAAACTGCATTATTTTGTATGTATGTGTTGGCAAAAACTCAAAAATCTTATACCCCTTCTTAATATTTCTACTGCGCAGCGTAATTCTAGTTTATTTTCAATATTATTGAAATACTCAGAAAAAAATCTATTTAATTCCATTTTTGTTTATGAGTCGGGATTTGATTATTAATATACAAAAGATAATAAAATATCAAAAAAATTTCACACAACAATATCAAAATTGTAAAATAAATTTACAAATTTTTATTTGAAAGTTTCATTGTTACAGTTTTAGTTTCCAAATAATTATCCAAACCAGCTTTGCCAAGCTCACGACCAAAGCCAGACATTTTATAACCACCAAATGGTACCTGTGGTAATACAGCATCATAACAATTGATCCATACTGAACCAGCATCAACATAATTAGAAAATCTTACAGCACGATTTAAATCTTTTGTAATAATTGCAGCAGCTAAACCATATTGTGTATTATTAGCGCGTTCAATCATTTCATCTAAATTATTAAATTTGAATATAGATTGAACTGGACCAAATATTTCTTCTTTGGCAATTTTCATATCATCTTTAACATTTGAAAATACTGTTGGTTCAATAAAGAAACCAACATCTCCTAAACGTTTACCACCGCATTCTAATTTAGCACCTTCTTTCTTACCACTTTCGATATAACCAAGTACTTTTGTAAACATTTCATCATCAATTTGTGGACCTTGTTGTACACCCTTTTCAAATGGATTACCAACTTTTCTAGCTTTAGCTTTTTCAACAGCCTTCTTTACAAATTGATCATAAATTTTTTCATGAACATATGTTCGACTACCAGCACAACATGATTGACCATGATTTGAAAATAATGCTTCGTGTGCGATTTCAACAGCTTCATCAACATCTGCATCATCACATACAACAAGTGGTGATTTACCACCCAATTCTAATGATACACGTTTTAAATTTGTTTCAGCTGCGGCTTTCATTATAATTTTTCCAACTTCTACAGATCCAGTAAATGCAACTTTACGAATTTCTGGATGATGACTGATTGCAGCACCAGCAGTTGGTCCATAACCTGGAATAATATTTATGACACCAGGAGCAAATCCAGCTTCTTTAGCTAAAGAAGCAACATACAAAGCAGTAAGTGGTGTTTGTTCAGCTGGTTTCATAACAATTGTACAACCAGTGGCTAATGCAGGACCCCATTTCCATGCCAACATTAACAAAGGATAATTCCATGGTATAATTTGACCAACTACACCAATTGGTTCTTTTTTTGTAACTGAATATAAACTTGATCCAGCTGGAACCGTATCACCTGAAAATTTATCACACCATCCAGCATAATATTTAAGAACTTCAACTGAATAAATAACATCCATCATAGCTTCAGAGAATGGTTTTCCATTATCAAGTGTTTCTAAATTGGCAATATATACTTGATCTCTCATTATAAGATCGGCCAACCTGTAAAAACAAATTTTTTAATTACGAAAGTAAATAATATTATGCATATTTTTTATTCTTACTTAATCATAATTTTTGATCTATTCCATGGATCCATTTCTCTCCATGGTGAACCACGAGCGAATGCTTTTTTTGCTGCTTCAACAGCTAAATCAACATCAGCCTAAATTGTAAATTAATATGCTTTTTTTATTTAATATACGAGTACATTTCTGGATTTATCAAAAAGAAATTACCTTATCACCTTCAGCTACATCAATAATTTTTTGTCCAGTAGCTGGATTCATTGTTGGAAATGTTTTTCCAGAGACGGCATCAATATATTCATTGTTAATGAAAAGCTATAAAAAAGCATTAAAAATTAACGTATTATAATAAATACATGATAATTAGTTATAAACTGAAAAAATATTTAGGATATAGAATATTGGAAACGTAATTCAGAGAAAAACGTTGCACAAGTTAAATTACAATAAAGCTAAGTAAATGGACAATAAAACTAACTGAACAGGATGGGTAGGATGGCGGACGAAATCGGCCGAGGCGGTTGCTTGCCTGCAACTGAGATGCTTCGGGGAAGCTTTGTGACCCCGGGGAGAATCTCGGAACTTGATGTGGCTGCCATACTGCGGTTTGTCAGGGGCCTAGGTGTAGGGCTAATGTAGGTGGGAATGGGAATCACAAAAGATCTTTTGGGTTGCCGTGAGAAGGGCCTAACGGCCTCGGTCCCTGGGAAGAAAAAAAAAAAAAAAGTACACAATCTTCCCAAAATAAATATGAAGATTTTTCTAATTCGTAAACACTTCATGATTTCTAAACGAGTTATACACAAAAAAAATATACAATTAAAAAATTTTAAGTGTTCATGACTCAAAGCACTGATTTTGCACTATTTTTGTGAAAAATAATTTCTTAGTTAAATTAGTATTATGATAAGATAATAAAGCTGAAAATAAATTATCTTGTATATACTTAAAGATAGTATATAACCAAAATTTTTGTACTTATTTTATGTACATACGTTATGTATATTATTATACGTTATTATGTATATACGTTATTATATAAATATTAAATATTCTAACATATGTACAAGGCTTAGTTATCCTATTCGTATGGCCTCGTTACGTAATTTTCTCTTTAATTCAGAACAATGAGCAAAAATTTTTAATATTGTTGAAAAATCTCCCACATTTCAAACTATTGTAAAATTTGCACACTTATACAATAATGTTAAATTGCCCAAACCGCCATAGATTTTACAAAAAAGAAAACCAAAAAGAAATGTAGTATCATAATTCAAACACATTCTCAGCTGTATTATTCACCCAATAATTTTGATTAAAAACGTAAGTAAATTGTGTAAGGATGCGCCTCTTAACTACAGTATCTTTTAAAGCAAAATGTGGTTTATAGGCACAAAGAATTGTTCAAATTAATTATTAATTTATTATGGTCACAAAATTGATGAAAAGATCTATTAGAAAATTAAACTTTACAATAAAATCAACATTGTCTTGCTTGTGCGAGTACACACGTGCTTAAAAATGTACAAAATTTCCTTAATATCTCAAATATTAAGATAAATTCATCTACATCTCATTCTTCATTATCGCTAAATTAATACAAATATTGTTAAAACATTTAAAATAAAAAACACGTACCGAAATGAGAAATTTTTATCTTAATTTCTTTTTTAAATCTTTATTTTTTTTTTACATTTGTTTCAATAATAAAATCATCGCGTTTCAGAAAGGAGAGGTGGGGGCTTTGATTAACCTTGACTTTCAACGTATTGAAGAAATAAAATAATTTATTTATTTTTTTTTTGTTCTGTTCTCTTTATTTTGATTAAAAAGTACTTAAAAAGTCAAAAAGTTATAAAATTGGTGATTATTACACTTTGCACGTTTGATAAAAAAAAAAGGCAATAATAAAACACAGAAGTGATATTGCAAAGTTTTTTGAAGATTTTTATTAATATTTTGTTTTCTAATATACTTTTAAGGCAAAAAAATCATATTATGTAAGAGAAATCTAATTGCTGATGGTTTGGCTTCGACTATATACTCTGAAGCTCTAAATACTTATCTAATATTATACTTGTATTGATATAGATATGAAAAATATTTCGGTTCACCGGCTGGTTGCTATCAATTCAGAATAATGGTCGACTGATTAATGAGGTCAAAAATGAAAATAAATCGAATAAATTATTTTTTGTTATTTCATCTACTTATAAATATACTTATTACTTTAATGGTAGCAACAACATAATGTAAAGTAATAAAAATGATAAAATAAAATTAAAATTACTTGCAATTTAGGAAAATAAAATCTCCGTTAAAGTTAAATAATCACGAACACAATATTGAGAAGAATTTCATTTAATTTATTTTTTTATTATTTAATTTAATTTATAATTTAATTCCTCAATTAAACTGTAATGCTTTATAGAAGAAGATATTTAGAATGGTCCCGTTCCGATCTATCAAATTACCTTTCAAAATTCTAAATCTATAATTGGATCTGATTCTCAACTATTCTACTGACTTTATTCACATGTATGTATGTAAAAAATTTTTTTAATTTACTCATATTATATTCATAATATCAGTAACAAAATGTCAGAAATCGAAAATTAAATTGTAAAAACAATAATGTAGCTTTGAGTAGCAAATAATATAATTTTTGCTCAATCATTCTCGTAAAATTATACCACATATTATTTACATAACTGTTATATCCAATACGTAATCACGCAAATTTATTTTTTTTTGTCATATAAATTGTGTATATTAATATTTAAAATTATAACTATGAAGTTCAGGTAATTTATGACAATTTTAACCGCATAATAGTAAACTGTTATATTAAATAACTTTCCGACAAACAACTCACGAACGATATTAAATACTATTTGTACGTCAATGAATTTTCTTACAATTATTGAAATTTATTTGAAAAGTCATCAATTTTCCCTTGAATTATTAAATTAAATGTAGGTATTTAAATAGATAATTTTCTTTAAAAAATAATTAGTTTAAATATCGATTAACTTTAACAGAGCTGGATGGAAATGAGTAGACATAAATTATAAAGAAAAATTTCTAGAAATTCGTGCATTTCGAAAAACTGGAGTCGTGAAATTTTATGGAAAAATTTGTGCAAATAAAAGTGCAAATTGGTATCATTGTTGCAGAAGAATGACAATTTACAAACTAAATAAACTGTTCCCTCTTTAACTTCTGTCTCTTCACATGAAATCTACATTTCGTAGAGTCTCGTAGACACTATATGATAACATAATACGAGTATTGTATTCAACCGGTACAATTATAAAAAACTAAAAAAAATTTTTTGATCCTATATGTACCTGATTAAACAAGTATGAATGTATGTATGCATGCTTATTCTTCTATATAAATTATAAGAGTACATACTTATATGTATATTATTCCAACACGAAGAGTGAGAAAAAGTAAAATAACAATCTTTGCTACGCGAAAATATTTCAGACATATGTTCAAATATAATGTATTATTCATCTACGCTCTTAAAAATATTATAATATTCCTGTTATACAAATAATAAACAGAAAAAAGTATACACAATTATTTGAAGTGAGTTTATACACCGGTATTTTGATATAATCACATACACACATTTATAATCAGACATAGGCCAAATATCGAAACAAAACTTATATTTTCTTGCGTTTCATACAGCAGTTTGAGTTTTTTTCAAAAATTTTCTAAAACATTTTAAAATTTCAATCTGTATTTTAAAGCTTCCTATACAAACGCCTAAATTGATATTCTGTGTTCAATACCTTTACTCTAAAAAATATATTCTAACATTAGTGATATTTTTAACAAAACAAGTCATAACAATTAATTTAGTTATTTTATTTAAGTCTGGACGGACTATAGTAGCCCTTATCATGAAAAATTATCGACGAATAATATTAAGTACGATAAGGGCCACTAATTTTTTATTATTAATTTAATCTTATAAAATTTGTTAAAACCTAATAATTGGACATTGTAAAATTTTTGGATTTATATCACTACATTTTTTAATTTAAATATTGTTAAAAATAATATATCCAATATGTATTACAATAATTAACAATAATATAATGTTAATACTTACTTTTGTATATTTAATTTCTGGATTTGGATTTGCCATTTTGTAAAATAAATGTAATTTTAAATTCTCACAATTTCAAAAATTATTTTAATACAAAAACTTATTCTATCAACACAACGCTTTGGTCAATTGCTCAGCAAAGACTGGAGAAATATTTTGATTTTTAAAATTACATACTAAAAAAAAAATATACATTTTTCATTTTTCTCCTCTTCTCTCCCCTTCACATCGCATGATGACGAAACACAAATAACATACAATCATACTTTGCTTTATTTTATTTTTATTCCCTTTCCTTCGTATAATTGCTCCAACATAAATCCGTCTCTTTTTTTTCCATAGATAATTTATTATTTTTTCTTATTTTTTTTTACAATAGAGTTAGCAAATTGATGTATTGGAGTAGTGGTGATACAATTTGGTTTTTTTCTATATTTTTGGTTTTATTTTTTTCTTGAAATTATGGATTTTATATTTATAAGAGTAACATAATTATACAAGTTTTAAATATTGACCAAAATTACAAATGTACAAATTAACAAAAATTAAAAATTTTATGCACAAATTTGTTACAGGAAACAAATTCTAAAACGCAGCACTTTTCGAAAAAGTTTATTCTAATAAAATTGTTAATTTTTATGGATGCCTCTGCCTGAAACCTCTGTTAGGTTGCACGGCCTCCCGGGGTGTACACCTAGGCCACCAAGGCCCGATGTGATGCTCACTTCTGTTAAAAGTTAGGCTTTTTGATTTCTACATTTTGCTACATAATTTTTTTTTCATATTACCATCTTTTGTTTTATAATTTCTACAATGTACAAATGCTTAGCCTATGCCTATGCATAATTTTTTTTTATTTTGTTTTACGATGTTTATTTTAAAATCAACTTATTTTCTGTTGCTATTTTAGACCCCCATTAAATATGGTAATTAAAAAATTATGATAAGAGGTACAAAAATTTGACGATCTCAATAACTAGATATCTTTATAACTATATATATTATAAAACTTTATATTCCAGTACTAAAAATTTTATTCAAAACAAACACAAATTTCTTTAAAATATGAAATTGTTATTCTAATTCATAATACCTGACTTACACTTGCAGAAATAGACACTAGTGTATATAAACTAAGTTTGACAAGCAACTAAATTTGAATTTTTATTATTAAAATTTGATTTTTCTTATTTTATATTTTGAATGTCTACTGTTATAATAAAGCTAACCATGCGAACTACTTATGGCAGAACTAAACAAAATTTTGAAAAGTTTAACTGAAAACATAATTTAAACAAATGTATGGCAGCGCTAACAAATCTAAAAAAATTGTATGATTTAGTTTGAATTAGACATAAATATAAAGTATGCCCGTAAATTAAGGCTGCTTTTACTATACAAAATTAAAAATTTATCCAAATTGTTGATCTTGCAAGTGAACTGATTTTGTAATTCGAGGTGTAAGACCAAAAGTACATGCTTTATTTCCATCTTGATTATAAAATGATATTGTATTTGATCCATAAAGTGGAAATTTATTTATTAAATCTTGATTTGATGAACATGGTAATTCTCTAGTATAACAATCGTTATATTCAGAATGTGGCATTGGATATTGTTCAATACTCTTTTCAACTGATTTTAAATAATCTTCATAAAATGTATGCCACCAGAATTGTTCTAAACGAGATTGTCTTGTTGCTAATATATATAAATATAAATGTTTAATCTTTTATAACGTTCAATTAATCGTTAGTGCTTAAGTACCTTTTTTAGAAATTTTTTGTGGAATTCTATATTGAGCTCTTTGTTCAGTTACCAATGGAAAACATGAAAATGTGCTTCTATTTAATTCTATTTGATTTTCAGCCTCAGATGATTCCGATGTGGGTGTTTCTGATTTTTCAAAGCTAAACCTTTTTAATTTATTGTCAGTTAGTTCCATTTGTATAGGGTATCGAAAAAGTTATTTAAACAAAATAAGTAAATAAAAAATTGAGAGTTTGATAAAGTAAAAACTTAGTCTTATTCTTGAAGTTTTAAAATTAGATTTCCGAATATGATTGAATTTCTCGAAAGGGTGTTATGAAAATATTGAAAATTTATATGAATAATCAATTTGTCTGAAAAATCTAATTGTTTATGTAATATAAACAAAATATTGGTTGCTGACAATATTCACCATGTAAACTTCATTTTCAAATTTCCTGTTGAAAATATTTTAATTATAAAAATATTCATGTATTATGCTTGTTGTTATTGTGTTGAATATTTTATATTCAGTTGGAGAATTGGATTTCAAATATGATTATGAATTTGCACCCAGAATTGCATTTTATGGCTAATTATGAGATTTTTCTTTGAAGCTCGAATGTCACATTTCAATATGAATACTTAACCATGTTAACCATCATTTTAGAATGTTGATTATTGCAAAGGAATCCATAACTCATCCAATATTAACAGTTATTAGGTATAAAAGTAATATTACTAAAACTATCAAACTTGAATTCCCTTTAACACCACACATACCTATGCATAAACATAATTTAAAATTTCCATGGACTTTAATATATCCTTTCATATCCTTTTATTTTGACTTTTGTTTTGCTTATTAAACTTTAAATTTATTGATTACTTCTTTTACTATTTTACCAAGTATTTTAACATAATGTCATTTACCTTTATTAAAAAAGTTTTAAGCTTTAAATAAAGCTTTTTTCGTGTACAAATAGGGGAACTGCACGAAATCCTTTATTATTCTTGATTTTGACTTACAAACCTACTTATATTGTTTCTATAAAATTATTTGTACAAAATATATGTGGGTATGTATGAATAGAAAACTCAACAATAACATAATCACGTGGGAATTTTTAAGTAAATATAGACAAAAATATAAAAAAAAAAAAAAACATAAACCCACTACATGACAGACGTGATTTTAATTGGTGTTATATTAGAAATAATTAATCTAAAATATATACTTGTACGAATTATAAAATATTTGAAAACTGTGCGTTATTATGGACCATATATATATATATGTATATCTATGTATTTGTATGGATCATGTTAAAGTGTGTAAGAATTTCAGTAAGTTTTCTTAGAACTTGTGCAATACAAAATATTTTATGATTTTCATCTCTAAATTAATGTGTATAACTTTTTGATTCAAATGACTGTACTACAGAAGATATTTTTTTATAAAACTCATCTGTACCAAAAATAGTTTCTATACAAAAATTATCATAAATTATTCTATATATTAAAATTAACATTCAAACAATCAAACAATTTTTTGTCTTAAATTCACCATTAGTCGTAGTATTACATTAATATGTACTAGAAAGGTTGTTGTCCATAATACATTCACCGTAATTAATTCAGTAATTGTTTAAATAAATTATATTTTAATTTTATAAAAGCTGAATTTGTTTTGAAAATCATTCAAAAACATTCTATTGCAAATAATAGTCTGTTTAATTTTTATAATGTTAAGATTTGTAAAACCTTAATATGAGGCAAAAAAAATAATTAATTCTTTTCTACTTATTAAATAGAAAATAACAAATTTTATTAAAAAAATTCTGAATATTACCACAAGTGCGATTGTTTGTATATGTCATATACAATTATAATGTCTGACCTAAGAAAATAAAATCATATAAAAAGGGTATTATAAAAAAGATGCCTGCAATACAATTTTTTATTAATAACATATGTAAGCTATTTTACTGTTGGGTATAATTCATTTACATTTTTATTTAACAGAACAGAATATTAAAATAAAATTTGTAATCGTAAAAAAAATCTATTATTTCTAAAATATAGAAATTTTTCTAATATTATTTGAAATGTAAATTATCAATGGCAACACAGTTTTGTTATATAGATATATAAGAAAACTGTGCTGTCATTGATAGTATATCACTGTGCTGTCATAAAACTGTGATAGTATATAGATATTGAATATATACAATTTTGTACGGAATGATATGCAATAAAGAGCGTCACTAATAAGTTCCCGACACAAGTCATAATTTTCTATTATTATACCTAAATTCTCTTTCAATATTTTCATTCTCGCCAAAGAAGGGCGACCTCTTTATCATTTAACTTTATTATTTCAAAATTTATACATAAATTTTGACATTATCTTATGATTTTAGTTAACTTAAATTAACCCTAGAGTTGTTCTAACGAACAAATGAGACAAACAAAATTTTTCTTATTTTTCAAATTTATTAATTTTATCTTTCAATTGTTCGAATTTCTTCACTTTTTTTTTGTATTATACGCCCTTGTTTTATATCATCACAATTTTTTTTTTTTTGACTCTATAAATTCTCTTATATAATCTTGATTCTAGATTATAAAATGTCATTGAAAATTTCTAACTTTTTTTTTTTTGTCATTCAAATATTTTCACTCCCACTTGAAAGCCTAAAAACAAAAGAAATTATTATGAGAAATATTAAAGAACATTCAATGTCAACTATACTTTGTACAATTATGAGACCAAAATAGATAAAATTAATTTCATGTTAAAGGGATAAAATTATTGTTGTAATAAATCATTTTAAATAGAAAAGTTTTACTATATATTTTTCTATTTTAATATGTAAGAAGAAAATAACATGTTTTTTTATTTTTCTTCATTCGTAAATGAGTAAAACGTGTGTAGGTACTTAAAGTATAGATAAACAAAAGTTTTTGACTTAATGAATAAACAAGAGGTCAAACCTCTTTTGAAAAGAAAAATGAAAAATAAAAATATATTTTATTCATTCATTCCTGAATATCCTTAAATAATTTATACAAATAATGACTGTAAGCATATGTACATGTATGTAAAATTTATGAAAAGGACAAATAAATTTTTGTAATGTGTAAACATAATCTCATCATTGCTATGTACAAATTATTTTTAATTAAGTGTCGCCATTGGTTTTTATCCGTAAAGTTTTATGTATATAGAAATAATTTCATATAGTTATTTGTTCATAATTAAAAAAAATATATGTAATTATTCGAATTTTCAATATGAAATTGCAAAAAAACATGTTCATAGTTATACTAACAAATTGTTTTGCCTCCACTTCTATCCAAAACACAAACCAAACTCTTTAAAAT